GGCGTCTTCTTGCCCCCGCTCCGCGCGCCCCGCGCAGCCGCCGCCGCGGCCGCCGCCGCAGCAGCCGCCGCGCGCACGGCCCCTTGCGCGACTTGGCCAGCGCCGCCGCCACGCGCGCCGCCGTCGCCTGCTGCGCGAACGGCAACCTTGGGCGGCGGGGCGGGGGCGGCCCGCCCACGCCCACCACGACCCCGGGCGCCGGCGCCGACGCTCGGCGGAGGCCGCGCCCGCCAGGCGGCGGCCCGCCGGCCCGGGCCCGGCCCCGCCGCACAGCGCGCGCCTGCGTTCAGCGCCGCAGAGGCGGCGCTGCTGCGGACAGCAAAACGGCGACCTTCAGCTCTCTACATCAGTTCTTCTATACATAATGAATGATCTGATACAAATTATCATTAGAAAAGATGTGACACACAGCTTTGAGCTTGAAACAGAAGCAACGAAATCGAAGCAAATTATAAGGCAGAGTAAGAATTGATTAGAGATTCCGGCCGCGACAACTTGTACTGGTTATAGTCTCTTAGTAGTACAAGTGGTTTTTCCTCAGGAGGTGGCGGAGATCTTTCTCGCTGGATGGTGATTGCGGCGCCGACCTACCGGTTCGGGCTGCGTGTTGTCCTCAACCAGGTATCTCCTAGCGGGTAGGCTCTAAGCTCCGAATGTGTGGTAATGCAGTGGATGTGTGTGTAAGGGGTGGACAAGAAAGAGGAGGAAGGTCGAGGCCCATTTTATTAGGATACTGCTCCGGCATTCGCCAGGTATTGATCGGAGAACCACGATACTATCGATTAGATGCAGCCGACTACAGTAATTCTCCTACAGACGGCGAACGACCTTAGCTATCAAGCTAGGGGTCGATGATCCTGTTACCGTCAGAATTGAACGTAGGACCTTCGGTCAGAGGCAGCTGCAGAGACAATCGGTTGATGCCGTGAGTTGCAACCAGAAATTTAATTCCTGAAAATTTGAAGAAAAGGGGGAAACAAAAATAATTAAGAGAACTAGATTTGTGAGAGAATGGGAAAATAATTATATCATGCTCAATGAATTTTTGATGTTTATGAATTCACATCAGAACTATACTAAATTGCAGGATGAAGATGCCACTCATGTCACGAGAGAGAATGCACCCGGCCACATTTTATTGTTGGGCAGCAAATTTTGAATTCTATACCTCTCTCTTACTATACTTATCAAATTTAACTTTAGATTTTTGGGACACATATCTACTTCATTTCACACTAAAAATGATGTATACAATAGTTTTCGACTACAATCCAAATGAATCCGCATAGTAAATAAATTGAAATATATGAACACTAAAGATGTTGAAAAATAAATGCACTTACTAAGAGGGTCTAATTCATTGGTTAGATACAATTCATTGCTTGCAAGCTTTAATTTAAAATAAAACACGGCAGAAAAAAGTTATTTCCATGAAATTTATACTAAAACTTAAAAGAGTTTGATTTTAACATTTAAAAATCTTGCATCTAATTATGAATAGCAATGAGCATTTTTGGCCAAATGTTGAAAGAATCAACCTCACTACACAAGATATGCTGAATGATTGTACTGCTGGTGAAGTTAATTAACCCCCACGTAGCACCGATGTAGCTTAAGAAAATGAACAAAAGAGTAAAGAAAAAGAAGGAAGGAGGAGGGGGAAACTGCACCTAAACCCTTGCTCCTTTTTGTATTATGCCTGCATCTAACATACGCAATAGCCACGAGTCTTTCTTCTTTGCTTTTGGGGCACGTGCCTTTTTCTTGCAATAGAACATAAAGTGCAATAGCGCAAAGCTTCTGCAGTGGACAGTAAATCTTATGCATTTCCTATTTTCTACCTATCTTAAATTGTTAGTAATAAAATATTTAACGTTTGTTTTCTGGGTATTGTAAATTTAATGGCATAAACTTGTGAAATAGTCTGAGAAGATGTACGTTTCTGTATAAGAATGAAAACATTTACAATGTAAATTTGGTAGCCCGGCCCCCGGCCGCCCGCCGCCCCGCCCCGCGCGCCCGCCTGCTGCGCGTAGGCGAGCAGCGGCGGCGGGGTCCAGCTGCGAGCTGGAGGCGCGGGGCCTGCCGGGACGAGTCGGGTGCGCTGCCGGGGCGGGCCCCCCCCCCCGAACCAACGGCCCATCTTCATCTCGCGTTATGCCGTCACAAAGTTTTCGATCGATGATAGTCCTCCAAGAATTAATAATTCAATTCGGTTTTCTGTATTCTAACCACTCATCGTTAGAGTTAAGGAGTGTAAAGTACAGGCAACCACATTCTCAAAATCTCTACGGTGATGTTACAAACGTTCTAAATAAAACTCCTCTTTGGTTTTAGACATAAATTCCAGTTTACAACAGATCGTGCACATCTCACAATGTTTTGGAAGACTGGTAGATTTCCATCTTTAGGTCTATAATATAATGACGCAAAAATGTTTATCGGCTTGTCCTAAAAATGGTATCTACAAAATTCTTTACATTATTGATGATTGCATTTTGGTTATAAGGAGTGGATTAGACTCATATTTTATGAGGATGTTCAATCAGAGCATTTGTTTGCATTAAAAACAGTTGAAAATTTTCTAAAACACTTTAGTGCCCACAACAGTCCTGGAAGATCCTGCAAAAAGACAAACTGGTCAAGTTTATAGCCTTTGTCAAGTCCATCTGTAAGGATTTTTGAAACAAATAAAAATTTCTTTGATCAAAAAATTTTTTTCTTTGATATAAAGAATGTGTAGCATATGGCTAATACCAAAACAAGAATTTAGTCCATGGCTCACCTACTGTCCAATCATGTATGCATTTCCTAAAATAAAGAGATTCTAGGGAGTATTGGCCACAAAGCTGCATTTTGTCCGGCCACTGAGTACGAAGTGAATAGTTTGGGTCTTGAGATTGTATGGGGAAGGGGGTGAGTAGAAAGGAGTTCAGTAAGGGGTTGTGGAGTGGGGAGGGGAATTGGGTTACAAGTTTAAGAGATACTTCTCATTCACATAGGAATTTTTGGTGGTGTTTTTTGGAGAGAGAATTTTTCGCTGATATTGTCGCAATCACGCAACAAGACTGTCATAAAGATTAGTAAAAGAATTTGATTCTTCACTGGAGATAATGGTTTGGTGTATTTACATTTTTAATGTTTAAATACTTATTCTGTCTCTATATTGAAAAATCAGAACAATTTTACGGTTATCAAAATTAAGGTACTTGTCTACCTGAATTCTAAAATTTTTATTTGGCACATGTCTCTGAATTTAAATATACTTACTATTAGGAATAGATATTAAAAAAGTTAAAGCTCTACATTTTTAAAATTATTTTATCCAATATGCCCCCTTTCCTTCCAAAAACAGGGATCATCATAAATCATGAACCGTTAAACATATTTCGAGTATTTCTTTTCAAGATTGTAATTTGGAATATATTTTATATCCTGAACTTAAATTTGAAGACTGATAAAGGAACTGAATGAACTTTACACGGATTAGAAATAGAGATTTTAAAAATTACAAATATCAATTAATTTGTTATTGCTCATGTGAATTTTCTGTAACGATTGACTTCCTGCTAATAAATAAAAAATTAATCATATAGGTATCTTTTAAATAAGAAGAATTATGATGTTTTAAGTCGTACCGAACAAGAGAAAAAGTAACTTTACGGAATAGCAGAATTAGATTCATTAGCCATGGGATGTGACATATGCACACTTATTTGGAAAAGTCAAATAAATTAAAAACTAACAAATGTAGAAACGAATGGTTTTAAGCATTGAAAGATACACATCGCAATGTACAAGAAACAATTAACCAAAAAACAAAATGCTAATTTTTCATGGATAATTGTCATTTTGAGGCAGATGATTATCTTAATGTAGTGGCCAAGATCCAACAGATTGCAAGATGTATCAATAAGGAATTTTGTCTATTTGGCTCTTATAAAATATTGTGTTTATGTTCTTTAATCCTATCTTTGAGCTTTTGCTTTGTTCTATAAACTGGAGGCAAGAGCTTTTATACTGGCGGCCATACACCACATTTCCTGTTAAGGTAACCTAATCGTTAATGTTTTACCAAACTGTTTTGTTTTAAAACATTGTTCTGGGGTTCAATCCCCATCTCAAGACTTAAGTTGCTATTCATTTCATTCTTAATACCTGAATTGAATTGAATTAATGCCTTATTTTACATGGCGAGACTCAGGCCATGAGGCCTGCTCCTCCATCTGACACGCAAATTTTACTACACTCCTTTCACCAACTAGCGAGAAAGGAGGTATTTCTTGGGTGAGAAACAGGCGATTTGAATTTAGCTCAGAAGCACCATTTAGGCTTGAGGATCTTTTACATGCAAGTAAAGCTACTAACATGGGACAGCCGGCTTTACTTCCCCTCCAAAGGAAGACATACGAAGACTTTTTTCGCCCTTAAAAATCCACGGCTTCAATTGGGTTTGAACCCGCCAACTTTGATATAACAGTCTGATACACTAAAAGTTACACTATCGCCGCATGCGAGTACCTGGTATATAATACCTTATTTAATACTGTTTATTGGAAATTTATTTGATTTTAAGAAATGCACAAGTTGTGGACCATAATATAAATTCTTATAGCAGTACGAGTAATATACTACACATTCTTTCTACCAATGCAAAAATTGTTTGCTCTAAGAAACCTTCATTAGTTTCAAAAGTCCCTTTAGATGAATTTGACAGACAGAGACTATACTTGTCCGGTTTGCACTCTTGCAGGCCCTTGACACATGGTTGAGGTCACCAAAATGTGTTAGAAAATTTAAAAAAAGTTGTACATTATAACACATGTCAAAATGTTTGATTGAACATCCTCTAAAGTCTAATCATTATAACCAAATCTTATTAATTTAAGTTGTACCGATTTCTGCAAAATGCCATTTTTAGGATAAAATGATTAATATTCCTGTCTCCTTGTATTCAAGACATGAAGAGTATCACCAATCTTCCAGAACATTGAAAAGATGTGCATCACCTGCTGAAAACCAAAGAAAACAACTTGACTTCTTTTACAAAAATAAAGATACAAACTTCATTTCATCTGTGAAGACGAAAATTGGTCCATGTGAAATAGTCTCTTTGTGAAGGTAAGTTACCAATGGATGACCATTGCTATACAGATTCATTGACTGATGATCACGGCATCAAAACTGTAATTCCAATTAAGGCACTAAGAAATTACCTTGAACAACTCTCCCCTTAATGTTGAGCACTTGTATGTTTTTAGTGACAAATGGCGAGTGACAAGTGGCAAGTGCGTGAAGGGAGAACACATTTCAAAGAAGCGTCACCTGCACAGACGTCAGCAGAAGTCTACAAATTTCGGGTAGCGACTATGGCTGCATGTGCTGTAGTGAACTACTTGCTGCACTGTTCAGCTTATCATATGACCAATGCACTGCCTACACATAGCAGACCTCCAGCACTACACAGCCACTACCAGAGTAGTCTGATGGTGCAGACACTTCCCAGACATGATCAAAAATAACAGCATTCATTACAGAAGAAGCCTATTTGAAGAGAAAATCATCTGAATTATAACTTGAACAATCAGTAATTTGTTTAAAACAAAGTCATTGCTTAGTTAAGTAAATTCAATTTAAGTTACCCAACAATCAAGAAAAAGGTATTTTCTTCAATTATTTACTTTAACATGAGTATGAAACCACACCTCAAATTGTAATAAAAGTGTATTACGCATTTCTGCCTACGATCAACATGTATATACATAAACATCATACTACAAAACTACCTTAAATAACGTAAGAAATTCAGAAATTAAAATTTTTTTATCAATTGTATAAATGAGTCAACAACATATATATTTAAAGAGTAATCGATCTGCTAGGTCAAAGAAAAAAAAAAGGCTTCTGCTTCGGCAGCCCTCTACACTACATCAGTAGCTCTACAACAAACATCGGTTTCCTGATAGTAGTGCAAAGTGCTGTTCTGGCTGCAGAACGTAAGACTTCTAATGCTGACGTCTGAGGGCAGATGCATTGTCTTTGAATCAATGTAGATTCAGAACATTCATAGTAGACTACTATTCCTTCATACTTCAGAACTCATTCACCTCTTTGTTTTCCATCAAATTACAGTCCCCAATATTTTCAGTCCCAAAATATTAATATTTCATGTCTATAACAATATAAAAAAGAGGAGAGGGGGAAATTAATTTCCTTTACTATTCGATGAATCTTCAAAGCTGCATCATCTCATTCTTGCCTTGAAGATTTCGGAAAGAATGGTTCTAAAGTACATGATGATTGCAGGAATAGGAGTGAACTATACTACATCAACAACCTGTCAGGCATCATGCATAAAAAGCAAAGCAGAGCAGAGCAAAGCAAAGCAAAGCAAAGCAAAGCCAAGGCAAGGCAAGCCGGCAGGCAGGCAGGCAGGCAGGCAGGCAGAGGCACCAAAGCAGAGAGTGAGCGAGTGAGAGGGCGCGACGGCGGGCGCGCGGCTGCCCGCCCGCGGCCGGGCGGGCGGGGAGGGCCGCGCGGAGTTAGTGTGGTTAGTCCGCGGGCGATGGGGCGGTGTGTGCTGCGCCCCGGGCGGCCGCCTGGGCGGGCCGCCGCTCACCTGCGCCCCGGCCTGCGCCTGAACCGTCTGCGCCTGCGCCTGAGGCGTCGCCTGCGCGCCCGAGCCCGAGCCCGAGCCAGCGCCGGCGACGGCCGTGGCGCCGCTCCCGCCTCCTTGGAGCAGGCGGTGGGTGAGCATGTTGGCCAGCGCCGTCTTGGTTCGCGGGTTCACCTGCTGCGGCTGCGGGGCGGTCGCTGCCGTCTGCTGAGTCTGTGGCTGCGGCTGCGCCTGAGTCGGGGGCTGAGGCGGCGGAGGCGGTTGCTGCGCTGGCTGCGCCTGCTGCGCCTGAGGCGGCGCTGCGCCCGGCGGCTGCGGAGGCAACGCGCGCTGCTGCAGGGGAGGGACGGCGGACGGGAGCGCAAGCGGGGAGGGTGCCGGAAGCGGGAAGAGGAGGCGCGGGAGGGGCGCAGTGAGCATGCAGGCCAGGGGCAGGGGGCGCCCCTCGAGGCGAAAGAGGGTGTGTCTGAGTGTGTGTCGTGGGAGTGATCCATCCAGTGCGTGGGCGGGCAGTGCAGGGCCCAAACCAACCACCTCCGCTCCCCGCGCCGGCTCGTCATGCGCTCAGCGCCCTCCGCGCAGCGCCCGCCGCCCAGAGCCCACAGCCCCGAGCCCCAGGCCGCCGCGCGCCTACACCTACCTGCGCCGCGCCGCCCGCCGCGGCCCCCGGGGGTACCAGTCGCTGCTGCGCCTGCGCCGCAGCCGCCGCCGCCGCCGCGGCCACCGCCTGCTGTTGCTGCTGCTTCGCCGCCTCCTGCATCTGCAGCTGCTGTTGCAACTGCTGCTGGCGCTCAGCCGTGGGCTGCGCAGGCCCAGGCCCAGGCCCCGGCCCCGGCCCCGGCCCGCCGCTCCAAGCGCCACCGGCAGCCTGCGCCTGCAACAACTGAAGTGACCGCCGTTGGCTACAGGCTAGTGGCCTCTGTTACACCTTCCCTTTGCATCCGGAAGCGACTCTCTGCGGTAGGCACTAACACTCTTAATAACGTAAGTACACTTACAATTAACATGTTAGAAGAAAACTGCCCAATATTAGATCCAACAGATTCCTGATGAATCAATTTTGCAGTTATGTAATAAACATCTACAAGTCTACATCTAATGTAATTCTCGTTAGGCTGTTAGAAATAACTGCATACGTACAGCATATGGGAATGGATTGGCTGCAAAAGAGAATTTTTCTTGGTGTATACCAAAACGTAAAGATAATTCAGTAAAGTACTACCTAACACATACATCTTACTTTTCCCTGTGCACAGATTCAGTGATTTTGGGGTAAGGAACCTCGATAGTAACTGCTGCCTTCACAGCATCTTGACAAGACGGTGCACCACCAATCATCAAACAGTTCGTTCAAAACTGGCATAGCGGGTCAGAGTGCAGCTTTGCAATGGCACAGGCCATTGTGCAGCTTTGTTCGGCAGAAACGATAGTTTGAGCAGACATGCTAGGATGTTGCTTGATGAAATATACTGTGTAATTCAAACACAGACACACACAAAAGATGCTAACTCAAAAGCGACCTCATGGTTTACATATATCAGATTAAAAAATCATTTATGTTCAAACATATTTCAAATAAAGTAAAAAGTTACTCAATCATCAAAAAGAAGCCAAAATATGCATGTATATATCATCATAAGTCATTGACACTGGAAACAACTCTCTCATTATATTCTGGCAAAAAATGTGAAGTTTAAAGCTGTTTCCGATAAGCCACAACATGGCTTGCAGCTGGACAAATTCATCAAAGAGCCTCCAAAAGTCACTTACAATTTATTATTTCCAATAGAGAAAATTATATTATAGTTGAGAGTGTGAGTGAACAGCAAATAAACTACAATTCTTTTATTTAATATTTTTCTCATCATAGTTTCTAGTGCAGTATAAATGAGCCATATTTTCTCTCAAACCAGGCTTTGGTTTTATTGGTCACAAATTAATTTCTTACTACGAAACCACAGAAAACAACTTTCCTCCTCACAATGACATAGTTGGTGCACATTGCATGCTATTGTCACCTGCTGCTGCTGCTGTTGTTGGCGCTGCTGAAGCCACTGTTGCGGCGTCATGCCGGGCGGCAGCTGCCCGCGGATCACCAGCTGCGGGGGCTGCTGTGCGGGCTGCGGCGGCGGGCCGGCCGGCCCGGGGCCCGGCCCCACGCCCGCTTGCTGCTGCGC